CTTGAATGGTGGGAGGGACCTCTTCAACGATGACAGTGGCCTCTTGAACGGTGGGAGGGGACTCTCGAGGAATGATAGGGGCCTCTTCAACGATAGGAGTGGACTCTTGAGGGATGATAGGCGAGTCGGGCTTCTTCTTGTGGTGTCTTCGCACTATTGGGGTATACGGAGACTTAATAGCACGTGCACGCCGTCTGATGCGTGAACTCTGTCGTGCAAGAAAAACCCGACGTAAAGCATCCACCTTATCGGTCTGCTAAATAAAAATACAAATATCAGTAAATAAACAGACATGATATTTAAACAGTGAAAACAAAGATAAATATATTTCAAACTTTCAACCAAAAGACAAAACAAAGACAAATACTAACTTCACAGTGTTAAAGTAAAAAGTTTAGCATTTTTGGCAGCAACCGAATAAATTTACCAAGCAATCTAAGTGAAATGGTTAATTTAAGTGAAATTACGAGTAAATTTATCATCAAGTTAAATATGGAAAATCTTAAACTTACCTCGTTGCGTAGAGTATGAACCTCATTATACAACGATACTACCATCTCACGTAGAGCGGCAACCTCACGACGTAAAGTAGACACCTCCACACGCCATGCACCATCGTTATCGCGTAGAGTACCGATCTCCTCACGCAAGGCATTGACCTCATCACGTAACTCCCTTGACTCATCCCGTGGAGGTGGAGAACAGGGAGATAGAAGTCGTGGCATCTTTGTCAGTCGCCTATCATGAGGTGATGGTGGAGAAGAGACTCGATGATGTGACGGGATAGGTGATGGCTCTCGTTGTAGAGGTGTATAGTCGGGTCGATCAGGTGATGGCTCTGGGTGAGGTGATGGCTCTCGAAGTGGAGGAAGTGGAGGCTGCTCATCATTCGTGCCATCAAAAAAACGCTGACTAGCTTGCCACCAATCAGTGGCAAGCTCAGCCTCCGTGGGTGTCAGTCTCATTAATGGAGTGTTGGCCTCCTAATAATATAAAAACTAAAACAAAGTTAAACGTCTACTATTAATAACTTGTTTATATATGATAGTATTTGTGTTAACTTACATTATTTATTGTCGCATATGGTATTAAGTCTTCCCAATCCAACATATGTTTCCTCTTCCAGGAAATAGCCCTAGGAATATCATCTGAGGATTTTAATGCATATGTCCGCATGCTGGGGAAAGCCTCGAATATCCAAATCTACAAACAATATAATAACAAACATTAGTAATTGTTAAATAATTAATTATAATTTTGAAAACATTATATAGAAATTCTTACCTTAAAGGCCCAAACAAAGCCTGACAAAGTGTATTTCGACCCATCGCCCCGCAAACTTTTGCGGTCATCAAAGGCAGACGACAACTTAGTCCAGGTAGCTTTCCATATATACGAACCCCACGGAAACAGATTCCATGCATTTAGGTCCTCTACCAATAATATTAGCTCCTGAGGAATAGGTTGTCTGGCCTCTCTGCCTAGAAAGCCGGCATACAAAAGTAGTAGAAGGCATACTTGGACAACATCGACGTCATTCATCCAAGTAAAACCATCTTTCTTATTAAACAATTTCTTCATGTCGTCGATGTGTAAGTTCGGCTTCTCTATTGACTAATCAGGAAAAACCCTGGATAACCATGATGGGCGGGTGATATGACGAGTGTACTGGCCTACATCATCGTGTCCGAATCGTAGACCAGTGATTAAGCAGAACTCCTTCCGCCCAAAACAAGTATACGCCGGTGGAAAATGAAACCATATCTCTTCCTCACCACGTTGTATACTGTCAGGTAGATCGCTAGTCATGGTCTAAAGCCACAAATGGGTCAAACTAGCATCTCCACCCGGATGCTGTACTCTCAGCCATGGCCCGAAGCAGGTTTCTTCAAACAATTTTCTTTGTGCAGGTGAAAGCTTCGAAGCAATTGTAGTGGCTAGGCTAACTTTATTCCTTAATGTCAATGAAGCCGAAAAAAATTTCTACAAAAAAACAATAAACATACCAAGTTAGATATACCAAAAATTACACTGTCAAGATATACCAAAAACAAAACAATAAACATAAATAGTAGTTTATTCTTGAAACTAAAATTTGCAACACTGTTTATGTCTTTTGGTTGAAATGAAAATCGCAACGAGATAATGAGAATCGCAACGCGGAAATGACTATCGCAACGAGAGAATCGCAACGCGAAATGACTATCGCGACCAGACAATCGCAACGCGAAATGAAAATCGCAACCGCGAAATGAAAATCGCAACGCGAAATGAAAATCGCAACGCGAAATGAAAATCGCAACGCGAAATGAAAATCGCAATGCGATTTTGGTTTCGCGTTGCGATTTTTATTTCGCGTTGCGATTATCTCGTTGCGATAGTCATTTCCGCGTTGCGATTCTCATTCTCGAAACTATTCTTCTTCTGCATTACTTCAACCAAAAGACAAAGCAAAGACAAATACTAACTTCACAGGCTAAACAGTTTAGCAGTATTGGCAGCAATCGAATGAATTTAATAATAAATCTAAGTGAAATGGTTAATCTATTATTGAAATTACCAGTAAACTTATCATCAATCTCAATATGAAAAACCTAAAATAATGCAAAAATTTCAAAATAAAAATAAAAAAAAACTAACCCTCGGAGGTTGATTTTCCATTTCTGAATGATTGTGAGGGGTTTTTGACTGTGAATGGTTGTGAGGGATTTCGCCGGCGATGGGGACGGAAATTTTCCGAGATGGGGACGGATTTCGCCGTAGAGAGTGAGAGATGGAGATGGGACTGAGTGTTGTGTTTTTGGGTTTGAGGTTATGAGTTGCGTGCGATTACTGTGGACGGTTCATTTTCCGATTTATTAAGAAAAAATACGTGTTTGGAATTTGAAAAATAAATACGCGTTAATACGAATGGCGCTAAGTAAATCGCGTTGCGAAAGTAAGTATCTCGTTGCGATTTTTTATTATCGCATTGCGATAGTCAGTATCACATTGCGATTTTCCCAATTCGCGTTGCGATTTACTTATTCGCATTGCGAATTTCCCAATTCGCGTTGCGATTTACTTATTCGCATTGCGAATTGGGAAAATCGCAACGATACTGTAGACCATCGCAACGCGATTTTCAACTATCGCATTGCGAAAATGCAACGCGAATTTGCGATAATGGAGATCGCGTTGCGAATTAGCGATCGCATTGCGATTTTGTTGGTCATTTTGGCAAATCCGGAAAAAGTTGGTTAAAATCGTATATTATATGGGATTTTTGGTCACTGAGGTTATTTTCTCATAATTAAATTTATCAAATCATTATAATTTTTTTTAAAATTTATTGAATTGTTTTAAAATGATAATTAAATTTTATCAAAATTTTATAATTATTATAATATTATCGTTCAGCACCTCGCCAGATGGATGCTTGCTGATCTTGTCGAGCTCCTTGGACAGCCCAAAAGGGTACAGGGTCCTGAAACCACTTGTTGATCGTGGATTTAACGTCCTTGCAGTCACACCTGACGTGCCCTTTCTAGTGAAGAATACCCCAGCAGAAGCATGGCTTGAGGAGTTGAAGAGTGGCAACATGGACCCTGGTTCAGTTCCTTTATTCAACCATCTGTCTGATCTCATCAGGCTTGCGGTTTTGTACAAGTATGGAGGAGTCTACTTTGACACAGATTTCATATTCCTGAAAGATTTATCAGGGCTGAGGAATGCCATTGGCGCGCAAAGCATCAACCAAGTAACAAAAAAATGGGCCAGATTAAATGGAGCAGTTATGATCTTTGACATCTGTTTTGCTGGAATTCTTGCAGGAATATGCCACCACTTTTAACGGGAACAGGTGGGGACACAATGGACCCTACTTGGTTTCAAGGGTGATGGAGAGACTAAGAGACAACCCCGAATACAGTAACATTACAGTTTTCCCACCAAAGGCCTTTTATCCAGTGGATTGGATTAAGTTAGCCAAGCTGTTTAAGAAGCCAGAAACGGAGGCCGACTCAAAGTGGACAGATGACACAGTTGCTGATATAAGCAGCGAGAGCTATGTAGTTCAATTGTGGAACAAGAGAAGCAGAGGATTGAAGATAGAGGAGGGAAGTGTGATGGCCAAATGATTGCAGACCACTGTAACATTTGCGACAACATTTACGATCCTTGAACCTTCAACCCTCTCTATCCCAAACCATTCCCACCAGGACTACCTACCAAAACACAGATTTTTCTCTTCACCAAGGTGTTTTTTATTATTATTTATGTTTGCATACCGAATTTGATGATTGAATGATTGATGTCAAAAATACATATAAAAGAAAGCTGGAACACTGCCATATTGATTGCATCTACAATTCCATTCCACGGTATCCAAAACCTGCTATATACATGGATTAGGACTCTCCGTATAATACTTCTAAAAGGCATAATCTATTTTGGGGTAAATGTGCATGTCCTAATCTTCCTCTTTTAATACACGAATCATATATACCTATGAAACACAATATTAATCTAATACGCTTATCTTAATCTGTATTCAGAATACATAACTTTGATCAATGTACTGTTAAATTTTATTGCATGTATCTTAATGAAGATACATGACTTTGATCAATATATTATATATCTAGGAGTTAATACGCTTATCTTAATGCCAATTTGAATTTAATTTAGAGTGTATTTAAATCATATAAATCAAAATTTAAACACATATATAGTATATATCATTAAGATTGTAGGAGTTATTTCTTGTTTTCTTTAAACATGTTTGATTAAGTTAATGAAAAGACATGCATATATCCTGCAAAGAAGCGATATTTTGAAGGAGCGTGGATGAGGGAGTGGTTGGTCGCACGTCATGTCACCACAGTGAATAGTTCATTTTCGTGTTCAACAAATGCCAAAGCACAAAAGAGTTGAGCTTACGGTCTCTCAATCTTTGTCCCCAAGTCACGCTACAGCCTACAACTACTCCGTCCTTCCAAAGCTATATATTATATGCCCATGATTCCAGAGTTGATTGCTTCATCGCAAGAAATATGGAAGGACAAAATGAAGATGTGAGGTTGGGAGCTATTAAGTACAGGGAGAGGCAGCCTATAGGAACTGCTGCTCAAAGCCAAGATGGCAAGGACTACAAGGAACCACCTGCGGCTCCACTTTTTGAGCCTGGCGAGTTATCCTCATGGTCCTTTTACAGGGCTTGCATAGCAGAATTCGTGGCCACTTTCTTGTTTCTCTACATCACAGTATTAACTGTAATGGGTGTTGTCAAATCTTCAAGCAAGTGTTCTACTGTAGGGATACAGGGCATTGCTTAGGCTTTCGGTGGCATGATCTTTGCTCTTGTCTACTGCACTGCCGGCATTTCAGGTACAATAAATAATACACATTTACTAGATCGAGTTTCTTGGAAATATAAATCTGGGGATGATGGTGCAGGGGTCACATTAACCCAGCAGTGACTTTCGGGCTTCTGTTAGCAAGGAAGTTGTCGCTGACTAGAGCTGTCTTTTACATAATAATGCAATGTCTTGGACTTGTAATATATTGGGAACAGTTCTCTTTGAAAGTTCAGAATTTACACTGTGACAGGCTTGGAGCACCTTGCCTAAGACAGCCGCGAGAGTCACCACGACTAGAGGAGAATTTTTATGCAAATCCCCTTCCGGGTTGCATATGTAGCAGATCCACGGAGCAGAAAATTAGCAGCCTGAAACTAGACAAGAATTTGAGTTCAGTTCAAGGATAGTATATTGGTGGATTAGCCATTTGCAGGATGGCTGATTGGAATTCTTGAATTAAGGTGCTTTTCCCTTGCATGGAGGACTTGAAGCAGCCACCTACATGGCTGAAATCTTATGGTTTCAGATTTCTTTCACGATTCAATGTCAGCTAAATTATGTAGTAGTACCAGTTTCAGTGTTGTTAGAGGACTCTACTTTCAACTTATGTAAGTAGAGAAGATGAAGTATAGCTCTGAGACATCTCAGGTTAGTTATACGGGCACACACAAATATTTCAAAGTGGAATCAATGTATTCGTTTTCTTCAATAATTTGGTTGCAAAAAGATGCATTTGCCAGATTACCTTTTTTGAATAGGGATGTAATATAAGAAATGGTTATTTAGGATGGAGATAGTTTCCCAAATGTTTCGACCTAAACTATTATCTTGCTCCCGGTTTCGTATCCTTTCTTATGCAAAAAGATGTGTAGACACTAATTTTTTCATCATCTTATTATTATTATTATTATTTTATTATTATTATTATTAATATATATTATTATTATATAAATAATTTTATTTACATTTTAGGCCCAAAACGAGGCCCAATTTTACAACAACCCACCAGGCCCTAAAAACCCTAACCCTTCTAGGGTTTCTTGAAGATTCTAGCCGCCCCAGCCAATTGTTCATCTTCTACAACCGCCTCCATGCTGACGCTCCACTGCCAGGTGCTCCACTCCGACAATGCCACCACGCTGCCGCCTCGCTGAAGACTCTAGAAGCGCCACGAAGCCACCCACGTCGAAGCTATATGGTGAGTCACCACATAGTTTGGTGACTCACCACATAGTTCGGTGACTCACCAAACTTCACCCATGGGACCGGTCCGAGAGCCACACCGTCGATGGCTACAAAAGCCATCGACCACACCTGCAAACAGAGGGGACAGAGAGGAACTAATCCACCAAACAAGCAAAAAAAAAAAACAGCAGAGACGAGAGCAACCAACGGCAAATAAACAGAGCCCACAACATCAAACCAAAAAGAAAAAAAGAAGAAAGAGAAGGAACTTACCTCAACCATCGGAATCTTCCAAACCGTCGTTGAACCCCCGAAGAACCGAAGGTATAAACCTAGATCTAGGAAATTTTAAGGGTTTTTAGGAGAAAAAGAGGTTAGATTTGACTTTGGGGTTTTTAGATCTTTAAGTCGATTAAAGGGTTTAAATACTCTCTCCCAAACGACGTCGTTTTGGGGAGGGTATTTCTGTAATTTCCCTAAGGGGTAAACCTCTTCCGCAGTATTACATGTTTGTAATCTTTACAATTTAGTCACTAAAAGCAATTTATAATTATTTTAATTTGGTCTCGTAAGTTTATTTTATTATAATTTAGTCCTTTCCAGTATATGTATTTAGGATAAATACCACATTTAGTCCCTCATATTTTTATATTTAATATTTCAATCCCGAATAACTAATATAGGTTAAATCACACTGTTAGCGCTCAAATTTTATAATATTTCGAGTTAAAGCATTTAAGTTTTATAGCTTATAATTTAATCATTATTTATTTTTACAATAAGTTTTTATTTTATTATTTACACCTATATTTTTTAATTTTCTATATTCTAGTCACATATTATTATGGTTAAATTATACTTTTAATACCCATATTTTATGTATTTTGAATTAGGGCTTTGAGTTTTATATTTTAGTCACTTATATTTAGTTTTTGACCATGATTTTTTTATATATACATTTTGCAATTTAATATTATTGCTTTTAATTTATTTTATTTTAATCATTATATATTTGCAACATTATTTTGTTATTACTTTTATATTTTAATTATTGCTTTAATTATTATTTTATTTTTATCTTAGTCTTTTATATATATATATATATTAATAATATTGATTTATTTTTAATATCAAAGAAAATGGCAGTCTTAAAGCAACTAGATGTCCTATTCTGGTATTTTAAATAAATAAATATCTTACTTATAAAAACCAGAAAATACATATTGTTTTATTTAAATTATTTTCTTAGAAAAATAATCATATTTTAATATTTATTTATTTTTAATATTAAGAAATGGACTGTCTTAAAGCACCTAGAAGTCCTATTATGATATTTCTAAGTAAAAAAATATCTTATTAATATATTTTCTTAAAACTATATTAATAAATTTGAAATAACAGTATTATAAATTAAATATATTTTTTAAATTTCCAATAATAGAGACAATTTATAATTAATGAGTACCAATTTCGGGCGTTGTGGGAGTGTTAATCCTTCCCCAAATGTAATCGACCACGAATCCCTTTTTATTATTAAAAAGAACGAATTTTTGGTTAAAATACAGACCATCTTTTAACTGATGTTTTCTTAAAAACTCTTTTAAAGATAATTTTTTAGGTATTCGACCTACCTAACCCAAAAGGTTGATGGTGACTCCCAAAACATTTTAAAAACCATTTATTCACATCACTTTTCCCGCCAAGTAAAATTTCGTGCCCGGACGAAAACCGGTTACGACAGCTTGGCGACTCTGCTGGGGACTGGTCAAGCTTTTAAATGAATTATAAATTGTCTCTATTAATTAGAAATTAAAAATTCATATATTTAATTTATAATTCTTTCTTTTCAAAATTTTTATACTTATTATTTTCATAATATTTATATAATTATTTTTTATTAATGATGTTTTATTTTCAAGTATTAAATTTCATTATTTATTTGTCAGAGGTTTGAAAATTTCTCCTCACACACATCACTTTCATTGCATAACATAAGCTTTATAATCAAGCTTGCCCCTTTTAAGTGGGAGTGAAAGCGACGTCTTCGTGAGAATTTATTCTCTGTGTCAGACCTAGCAAGTAGCTTTCGGGAGTCATATGATCTATGTCTTCGTGAGAATTTATTCTCCGTGTCAGGCATAGAGAAATGTCCCCTCAAATTGAACTCGATCTGCTTAAGTCTGTGATGGACTAGGATTGAGGGTTTGGCATCCCAATGGGGCACCAACAAGGACAGTTCGAGTACCTTTACTCCTAGAACTAAAACCTTGCATATAATAAACCCTAAAAATTCTCCTGATCTAAGACAGTACTGGACCTCTGTCCGTAGGTGTACACAAAGGAGAAATAAGTTATAACTTTTTTTATTTTTTAATTTATTTGAATAAATGCATGCGAACTAGAAATCATGTAGTTAGGTTATTTTTTCCAAACAAAGCATGGAACTAGAAAGCATGAGGTTAGGATTTATACCATTTATACCTTGATAGATAGTATCTTTTCTTTCCATTAATTGGTACTAACCAATTTATTTTTTCCTTTCTCATTTTATTTTTTTATTGTTATTACATTGTATTTTACTTTAACTTGTTTATATTGATTTCTTTTGTTTGCATTACATGATCATGGCATAAGCAAAAGGTGTTAACTGGAAAGATTGTTCATCAAATTGGAAAGAAATCATAAATAGACAAAAAGTTTTATGATCAAACAAAATATGACGCAACCATGGAATGGCATCCTGAGGGAACTCCGAGTATAGAGGAGAGCTATGTACCCAAAGATCGTATGCCCATTGAAGAGCAAAAGGAGATACAATAAATAAGAGAGCAGATGTCCAAGATGATGGGTAGAATATCTGTTTTGGCCAAAGGAAAAGAGACCCCTGCACAAAAAGAGAGAGATGTCAATGAACATAACCCGACAATCTCAGATATACAAGGAAGTTCGGATCTTAACCAATTTAAGAAATTACATTCAATCATCATTCGTATTCATAAATTGTCTGGAGATACCAAAGAAATGGTGACAACTGTAAAAGCTCCCAGAGATGAGAAGAAATCATGTAATTTGAAATAGTCAAAGTTTAGTTTGCTCCCGACGTCTAAAACTCAGGTTCAATCCAAGACAAAAAGGCAGTTCTCATTCTGATACTATTCCTATATCATATAAGGAATTATATGAGAAACTACTTGAAGTACGACAAGTGGCTCCGTACTACATAAAATCGTTCCAACCTCCGTATCCGAATTGGTATGACATCAACGTTTATTGTGATTATCATGCTGGAGCTCAAGGACATACCATCGAGAATTGTCTTGCCTTCAAACGACGAGTCCAAAGTCTTTTGGATCATGGAACCTTACAGTTTGTGAAAAATGATCGACCTAGTTTGGTAACTGAAGGTCCTGCTAGATTAATACCAAAAGTGGTAAAAGGTAAAAGTATCAGAAGGGGTGTATAGAAAGAGGAAGATTTGCTGAGGTCCGGGGCTCAAATACGTCATTTAAAGATTGAAAACGATAAATTGAGCACCAAAATGGAAACCATGCATGAAGATTTCCTGAATATCAGTCAAGCTTTTCAAAATGTTGGCATAGGAAATACCCCAGAAGAGTGGATAACAGGGGTCACCAAACTGAAAAAGAACTGCAACATATATGAAGATCTTATCCAAGAACTTCTTGGACACAAAGGGTCTCTTACAAGGGAAAACAAGCAACTCTGAGAAGTGACATAGAAGATAAAGGAAAAAGAGAATATCAGGGAAGAAGTTGCGGTCTAGACAAGCAATATGGCCCATAAGTTGATAGACTAACTTGGTTTTAGAGAAGTTATGAGGGAAAGTTATCCCCTATATATAAAGTTTTGTTGAAGTTAGGACCGAAAGTTGTCCCCTATATGTAAAGTTTTGTTTGATGCACGGAAACTTTTGTGTTCAATGAAATCTGTTCTAAGATGATCACTCTTGAGTAATACCTTTTCATACAGGCATTTGCATTTTGCGTCTTTTCATTTTACTCTTGTATTTACATTTACATCATGCATTAAAACATATTTTAAAATAATAATGTTTATTTATTTTCAATATCAAAGAAAAGAGCAGTCTTAATATAATTGGATGTCCTATTCTGGTATTTTAAATAATTTACATTTACATTTTTGCATTTTGCATCTTTGCATTTGTATTTTTATGTTTACTTTTGTATTGCACAGTTTGCATTGTTATTTTTTCATTTATGCATTTTCGCATTTACATTACATTTTTATTTAGTTAAGTGTGGTTATATACATTAATTATAAAAACATGTAAATAATTCATGAAAGGTTTCTATAACAGTAAAACGAGATCATTTATTCATATTACTGTATCATCATCATGAAAACAATTGAGCAATCTTATAAGGGACTACAAGATCAGTGGTCAGAATAATTCACAGGGTTACCTCAGGATACAAGGAAACAATCATCGGATTCAGTACCAGATGGACCAAATCAAATTATTAATAGGATGC